CACCTTGTAAGGCTAAGGCAGGAGGATCACTTGGGCCCAGTAATTCAAGACCAGCCTGGGCAACATAGTGAGACCCTGTCTCTACAGAAAAATTTAAAAATTAGCTGGGCTCGATGGTGCATGCCAGCAGTCCCAGTTACTTGGGAGGCTGAGGTGGGAAGATCACTTAAGCATGGAAGGTCGAAGTTGCAGTGAGCCGTAACTGCCATTGCACTCTGGTCTGAGCAACAGAGCATGATCCTGTCTCAAAAAAAAAAAAAAAGAAAGAAAGAAAGAAAGAAAAAAAGAAAAAGAAAAGAAAAAATATCTGGTATTCAACACTGCAAGGAATGAATAAAGTGGCAGGGAAAGTGAACATGAAGGCATGGGAAGATCAGGTAACTAAAGTGACAAACGACTATTGTCAAGTCTTTCCCTAAATCTCTGATTTAAGAAAACTGACAGGAAGAGCAAACTGAGTCCAAGACCAGAACCAATGCAGCAACTTTCCTTTTCACCCATTCAGTGAATGACCATGAAAGTGAAATGCCTTCTTTTCCACAAAAGCAGAGTGAAGCTGTGGTGACAGAAGTAAATCTTACTTATAAAAACACTATGCTTCAAGCTCATTAAGGATTAAACAGGCTTATCATCTGGTCTAGCAGTTACACTTCCCTTTATGATACTATGTGCATGAAAAAGTGCTTCCACACTAGCGCTCTCTGGGCAAATCAGCCCATATTAGGTTTACACTTTCTTCCAAAAAGCACTTTATCCTGAAGCACAGTATTCATCTGTGCCCCAGACAGGTATTTTTTCCCCATGTATAATTATATGAGGAAAGACACCTATTTGTTGACTGAAATTCAGCCAAATGTAATCATTCAGCATGGCTTGGACAGATATTAAACTCAAATTACAGGCTCAGTAAATACACATATATTGTTTTTACTTTTAGTTGGGCTAGTAGACAACAGAAACCAACTTGATAACTAGAGTATACCTACTCCTAATTAGACTAAAGTAGGGAGTTAAACCCAGTGGGAGTTACTCACATGGTTTATGTATGGAATACACAGAGTGTGAGGAAGAAGGAGACTTTAGATGACTGCAAACATCAGAATATAGGTGAGGTGAGTGCTAGCACCAAGAGAGATCTGCTTGAGGAGTAAGTACTGTGGCTGTGATGAGAACCTTGCTTACTGGCTCCAAGCCCACTCCCATCTTCGCAATCCCACCCATCTTCCTCCATTTACATATACAAGCGAAAAACTGCAGAGAGCAAAATATAAGAGTGATAACATCAAGAGAGGAGAATGAAGGAGAAAAAAAATCAGATCCTTTAAAAATGTATATAACATTGTAGAAATTTCAAAGCAGTTAGCATGTCTCAGAAAATATTCAGACACAGCCTGGAAATCTAGCTCCACCATAAAGGGGAACTTTCATAAGTTACCTAACTTCTGTAAGCCTCAGTTCCCTCATATTTAAGATAAGGATAATAATACTACCCTAACTTACAAAAGATTCTTTTAAGTGTTACATATGCCTGGCACATGAAATGCCCCCAAATAACATTTGATAAATAAATGACATCAAATATTAGCTATTTAGAAAATCTGTTAAACATTTTTTTTTTTTTTTTTTTACAAACAGCAATGTCTCAGTTGAACACTGGGCGAGGCATTCCTTAATTTGGTAGGCATTGGGGAGTGCTGCAGATCAGCAGGGGATGTGAAACAATTAGTTACATTTTGGGAAGCTTATATTATAATGGCAGTGGCGACTAATGAGAACTAAAACTGAAAAACAAAAACTTGAAAAGCAGTTACTGGAACCAAATTTTCTATAAAGTAATGGATCATGGTAATAAAAAAATCATTTTTTCACCCCTAGAATTACATTTCACTTCATTTTTTTATGACTAGTCAAGTGAAGGAATAGGAGTGGAGAAGGAACAAAGAAATCCGTAACTGGTTGTGATCAATTAGTTGTAAGCACCATTGCATTCGGACCAGCCATATTTCACTTCATTTTAACCACAAATAATGAATTCTAATATCTATTTTTCCATAATGCATTGCTTGTTCTCTGGATTATAGAACTCTCAGCAGTAATTTATCAATGTCCTTTCTTGATTCTTTAGCACTCACTTATGACAATTAATACAAAACCTTCAAATCTCCTTGCCTTTCTACACTACAGGTAACACTGGCTATTTTCCAAGTGGCAAATGAGACATGTAAAGTGCTTAGCAGAAGGCCTGGCACATGTTACAAGCTAAAAGTTAAATAATGATTTTCATTGTTATTAAGATTACAGGGGCACAAGGCCGGGCGTGGTGGCTTAGGCCTGTAATCCCAACACTTTAGGAGGCCGAGGCAGGTGGATCACAACGTCAGGAGATTGAGACCATTCTGGCTAACATGGTGAAACTCTGTCTCTACTAAAAATACAAAAAATTAGCCAGGCGTGGTGGCGGGTGCCTGTAGTCCCAGCTACTTGGGAGGCTGAGGCAGAAGAACGGCGTGAACCCGGCACATGGAGCTTGCAGTGAGCCGAGATCTCGCCGCGCCACTGCACTTCATCCAGCCTGGGCAACAGAGCGGGACTCCGTCTCAAAACAAACAAACAAACAAAAACAAAAAACAAAAAAAAGATTACAGGGGCACAAAATGGGTACTCAATAAATATTTTAATGAGTAAATAAACATAAGTAAAACAAGTTACCCTTATTTACAGCAAAACACAGAGATATAATTTATCATTTAAGAGAAGCAACCAGAGTTGTACATGTGCTCCAGAAATTGCTAACATTCAGCTTTCAATTCTTTAGGACAGATCCAGAAAATGTGACCTGCCTACAGAGGGAAAAGAGAGAAACAGCACCTGCCTGGGAGCAATGAGTCCTACTTAGAGTCCTGAGAGCCAAAGACAATGCAGACAGCTCTGGGCAAGTCACCTTGTCTAGATCTCAGCTCCCTTTCCCGTAAAATGAAAATCCTTCCATTTCTCTGATTCCATGCAGAAAAGAGAAGATATAAAAGGGTTACCTAATGCAGTATTTCACAAGCTTCAATCTTGATCATCTTTTCATTTTTGCCATATCCACATAACACCTTTATTGTTTTTCTTTAAATTGACTTGCATAATGATGGCTCACTGCAGCCTTGACCTTCCGGGCTCAAGCAATCCTCCTACCTCAGCCTCCAGCATAGCTGGGACTAAAGGCGCATGCCCCCATACCCAGTTAGTTTTAAAATTTTTGGTAGAGATAGGGTCTCGCTATGTTGACCAGGCTGATCTCAAAGTCCTGGGCTCAAGTGATCCTCCTGCCTCTGCCTCCCAAAGTGCTGGGATTACAGGTGTGAGCTACTGCACCTGGCCTTAATTTACTTAAAAATTTAACCTCACTTTAAGTAATAAAACCGTTAAAAGTATTTTATGGTTTTAGTTAATTTTTCTAATGTGTCTAAAGATAAATTACCAAACTTTAAATATTCACTCAAAGATTACCTAAATTCATCTAACATACCCAAACTTTGGCAAATGGTAACCTAATTTTTATAACTGAAAATAAAAAAAAAATTTTACTTTCCCATACTATAGCAACATAAGAAAATCAAAAAATTTAAAGGACAGAGAATTGAGCAGAAAAGAAATAGAATTTCATATTCCCACAATAATGTAAGGGTTAATTCAAACTATTTAATATTCAGTTATTTTATATGTAAGAATATTTTTTAAATAATGTGAGGCAACAAAAATTGAAAACAGAACTGATTCCTTCTTAACCTAGGTAATCTTCATCTGAATTAGGATTTTATTTCCTTTAACTTTAAAAGACTTTCATTTCACCCTTGAGTATGTAAATTCAGATTAAAATAAGAAAAGCAATTAGTTTCTTCTTTCTTAAGACCATAAAAAGAAAACAGAGATCAAAATTAAGTGCCACGTTTATTAGAAATGGAAGTGCCCTTATAAACTTATGCTCTCTTTGCCTTGATCAATGCATGAGAAAATAAATGTACCTACTTCTTAACTTGGAATTCAGAGAGCAGTAGGTATTTGTGTGACAAGTTTTACTAGTCAATAAAGTTTCCCTGATCTAAATGACTCCAACTGTACTTTACAACCAAATCCATCAATAATCAGTGAATAAGCACATGCTTGTACCTGGGCTGACCCTTTCAATGTGCTGGCCAGAATACGTAATTGAGGACTACTGCTCTCTTTAGCAAATCTTTTGTGTGTGTGTGTGTGTGTGTGTGTGTACACATTTAGTTTTATTGTAACAAAGCAACTTGTACACTTTGAATGTTTAAAACTGAGCATCATTTTTCCTTTCCAGTGAAACAAAAAGAAAATTTAAAAATAAACAGGAACAAAATTACAATAAAGAATGTCAATTCCAAATAAGATCCTACAGGTTCTGCTGATTCTCCCATTGAGTGGCAGGGCTCAAGTCATCATTAGGAGAGAATTTATTTTTAAAAATGTCATCTTAAACTGCAAGGATGTCTGTCAAATATCACAATTAAACATGCCAAAGGAGAAGCCATGTTGTCAAAATGCCCACTTAACCCACCCAAACATCTCAAATCCACCCTTTGCTGACCTTCTATAACCCCATTTTTTAAAGTTTTTTTTCTTTTTTTAAACAAGAGAAAGTAGACACATATACGTTGGTAAATGCTAACTGTCCACATTCATATCGAGACACAGTGTACTCTCTGAGCCCAACATACAGAGAAGGAGGAAAAAAGCTAGAATTCTATTTTTTTTTTTTTTTTTTTTTGAGACAAAGTCTGGCTCTGTCGCCCAGGCTGGAGTGCAGTGGCGCGATCTCAGCTCGCTGCAACCTCCACCTCCCAGGTTCACACCATTCTCCTGCTTGAGCCTCTCGAGTAGCTGGGACTACAGGGGCCCACCACCACGCCTGGCTAATTTTTTGTATTTTTAGTAGAAACAGGGTTTCACCGTGTTCGCCAGGATGGTCTTGATCTCCTGACCTTGTGATCCGCCTGCCTCGGCCTCCCAAAGTGCGGGGATTAAAGGTGTAAGCCACCGCGCCCGGCCAAAAAGCTAGAATTCTACGCACTACTACACAGGGGCCCAGCACCCTCCAGCAGAGCAAAGGGAGCAGGGTTTTCTTTCTTCCCACAGAGCTCGGTGGTGCTGATTCCATACAGTTTTTGTTCAGACAGGAAGGGATAAAAATGAACTTCGAACAGAAAGAGGTAGAGACTCTTTTCCCATTGTATTCTGCTCAAGGTATTTCCCCCCAAATAAGTTGAGAACCATGGAGTACAGAAAAGAGACCTCAAGAACTGGGCAACTGAGCACAAGAGGAAAAAAAAAAAAGAAAAGACTGCAACTTGCTCCCAGGGACTGGAGAAAATTTAAAAAAAGGAAGGTTGGAATCCATCAGTGTTCTATTAGTCATCTTCTCCTTCATCTTCCTCTCCTTCCTCCCCTTCATCATCATCTTCATCACCTTCATCCTCATCCCCTTCCTCATCAATATCTTCTAATCCTTCCTCCTCTTCATCATCATCATCTTCTCCTTCTCCTTCTTCATCATCCATATCAGAAACCAAGTAGTACTGTAATGAGTTTGGCCAAATACCATCTTTGATGACCTCTCCTAACGCATCAGCACCTGCATCAGAATGGTCAGTAAACCAGGTAAAGAAGCTCTCTGGTTCCTCATGCTGCCTCTTCCTGCTGGCTTTATTCTGCATTTGACTTGAACATTTTGTCAAATCCTTTCCAGATTTCCATTTGATTTCGGTGGACTTTGAAGATGGACCACCACTCTCATTCAGATGAAATTCTTTGGAGAGAACTTTATTTTCAAAGTAAGGATTTTCATCAAAATAAAAATCTGTTCTGTAACCTGATTTAATATCTTCAAATTCTGTTACTTCAACTCTGGTCAAATAATGCAGTGCCTCTTCGTCTTCCTCCCCAAGCAGTGCAGACACTTGTGGATGGTTGACAAATGTTACCCAAAAATTTAGGATTTTGGTGATCAACTCTGACCTCTTTTGAAAAAATGGTTGGCGGAGTTTGTTATATTTCTGTTCTACTTTCAAAATCTCCTCACTGGCTTGTTCATTAAGTCTGTCTATTTCATTTTGTACTTCATCAATGTGTTCAATTGCTCTTGCTGTTCTATTTCTCCCTTCTTTGGCAAGCCTGCAGAGGCCAATGTCTCCTCCGGTCCCAAAGCACGTGGTGGTCTTGGTTTCTTCTTTTGAGGCAGGAGTGGAGACTGGCGTTTAGGAGCCATGCTGTTAGGCAAGTCCAAGAACCAGACCACGAGTCTCCTCGCCCGTCTGGAAGCAGGCTGAACACTGAGTCTTTAGGAAATCTTAGCAATCAAAAACACATTGGCATAAATCAAATTAAAAATGATCCTTTGAACAATTCTGAACACAAGGACAACTTTTTGATGTGTTAATAATAATGTCTAATGTGACTGATGATCATCAGCTAAATCTCACTAGGTTATTTTAAAGCAGAAGTAACAAACCCTGGCATAAATCTAAATTTGCCAACCTTTGATAGGTATCAACTAGCTGACTAAAGAACAAGTAGGACAAATAATGTGTATCTATAAATATTCACGTTACTTTATCCTTATGACATGATCCTTACAATTTTTCATAGCAAAGTTCCTCAGGGCCATCTCTACAGGCCTTCTTTCTTTCCCATCAAATCTCACAGGCATCGGCATTTTTGCTGTATTAAGTATAGCAAACCAGAGAAAAAACAAATATCTATTAAAGTATAATAAGGTAGAGGGGATACATTTTAAAAGGTCATGAAAGATTACAAATGAGAACTGAACACTCCTAAAACGCCAGCTTTTTGAAAACATAATTTATATCTGATTCATCATTCCTGCTCTCATAGCTCCTGTCTTACAAATAGTATGCACTCAAAAACTATTTGTTGAACTAATAAATAGACCAAATAATAAAATTTAATACCTTCACAGCAATGAATTATCAGTAAATAGAAAAGGCCAGAAGAAAATTTGAAAATTAATTCCTCAATTACCTTGTTAAAACGTCTATACTATGAAAGCTTTTCAAAGTCAGAAACCTGCTCTATCACTGGCCATATTTCTCCTGATATGTAACCACAGAACCAAGAAATTCATTCTAATTAAATGAACAGCTTTAATAAAGTCAGGCTTTATTTAACTGGCTAAAGCCAAACACCTTACCTGCAGATAATGTGCTTTTAGACTAATTTATTTACAAAAAACTGATTTCATAAAACATGATATAAACTAGTGATTGGGAAACAGGAAATGACCATTAATTAACAGGTTCAAATTAAGCATATAGGTATAATCATAGCTATTATTCAATGCTTAAAAATACTCTTTGATGACAGTACTGGTTAAGCTTATTCACAAAGTATTTTGAACAGTTCACCTCATGGAGATCTTTCTCAATTTTTCATGGTGTACTGTGCCATGTGCAGTATATGCTAGATGATGAAAGTATCAATCTCCTAAAAGCCTTTCCTGACATTCAAGGGAAACAACAGTTGCAGCAGCAGCAGCAACAGCATGGGTTAGGCCCTTGTGCTAAGAACTTTACAAATGTTATTTCATTCAATCCTTACTACAACCCTGTAGGGTATTATTATCCTTATTACATGGGTGAGGAAACAGACAAGAGAGGATAAGTGACCAAGTAGCTGGGTTGGTATTCACCCCAGGCAGTCTGACTTCAGGGTTCATACTCCAAAGTCTCTCTCTATATATTATGGATCCTTAAAATGATCAATATGGTCAGAAACCCATTTGAACTAGAAATAGGCTAAATAGTTATCCCCATTTGTAAGTATTATGACCAAGCAACTAAATGCCTCTCCCCATTCACAACTCCTACATAATTAATACCTTGAAACATCATAGTTGCTCATGCTATTTGAAAAACTTCTGAAGGCACTCTTCCTATATTTAGTCACTATAACTAAAAACTTCATACTTATGGGTTATTCTGCTAGTTCTACAAGTTCCAATGCCTTAAATCTCGATTCAGGGGAAATAATATTATAGCCACTCTCATTCCAAACAGCCAAATCTTTGTTTTTGTTTACTGCTCAGATGATCTGCACAAACCCTTTACAACATATAAAAAGGCGGAGTAACAATCCAAGTCGAATGCACATAGAGATACATTCTGATTGGTCATCTAATCAGAGCTCTAAAAGATGTTCATTTTCTTCGCAAAAAAAAAAAAACTTTAAACAAACATATAAAGGATCCCATTCTAGGAAAAAGGAAAAGCATAAGAGGAGGCAATGAGAGCAATTTAGAGTACTAGATGCAACCAAAGACCTAAAAGGTAAACCTGAGATATGCCCTAAATATGTGTACTACTGTAACCTCATTGATGTTGTTAGGATCTCTTGTGTCGCTTCAACATACAATGTTGTTCGCCATCCCTCAAAGGACTAACACACATAAATATTCTAAGAAGAGACTACAATCATCAAGTATAAGCTAGTCTTTATAAAAAGTAATGTTCACGGGCTGGGTAGGGTGGCTCACACCTGTAATCCCAGCACTTTGGGAGGCCGAGGTGGGTGAATCACGAGATCAGGAGTTTGAGACCAGCCTGGTCAACATGGTGAAACCCCGTCTCTACTAAAAATACAAAAATTAGCCGGGTGTGGTGGCACGCACCTATAATCCCAGCTACTCGGGAGGCTGAGGCAGGAGAATTGCTTGAACTCAGGAGGCGGAGGTTGCAGTGAGCCAAGATCGTGCCACTGCACTCCAGCCTAGGCGACTGAGCAAGACTTCATCTCAAAAAGAAAAAAAAAAGTAATGTTCACTCAAAACCAAGTTCATAAAGCACCTTCACATATAACATTTCATTGACCATTCACTATCCCCATTCATCTACCAGTTTGAGGGCAATCGTTATCCTCATTTTACAGATGAGTAGTGAAGGGGCTTACCTAAATTCAAACACTTTGTGACTGGTGGAGCCTCCAACTCAAATCACATGACATCAAATCCCAAGCACTTTCCACACCACATTGCGCCTCCTCATTCCACATCAAAAAGTCACAAAACTATCCTGTCTGCCTAATCTGCACTGGTCTATTACCAATACTGTAAGAACAACTGTCTGTTATTAATGACACCACGTGTTACGAATACAAAAGAGAAACAAAACAAACTCAGTATTTTCTCTGACAGGCCTGGCACTCTGTTCAGCACCCAACCTATACCTTGACTAACATAGTTCTCACAAGCCCCTCAGGTAGGTGCCGATATTCCAACTGTATACCTCAGAAAACACATTCAGAGAGGCTTAGAAACTTGACTAAGGTCACAGAATAAACAAATGACACAGCGATGATGTTAGCCACACGTCTGCTATACCACACTGCCTAACACAGTATCACAGCGATGCCTTTTTCTGGTCATCAACAAGAAAAATCAAGTACTTTTTAGGTTAAAATATCTTAACGTGTCAAATAACCATTTCTCCACTTGTTGCTGTCATAATTTCACTTCCAAGCACAGCACCTTTTCTTCTTCCTGATTTTCTCTGGTTTACTCAATATCTGCTGGCCTCACTGTGCCCTGGAACAGGGGATACTGTTGGAACAGAAAAGTGATGTATTATTAACTAATAGTACTTTACCCAGCCACAGGAATCATGCAAATATTATTTCTGCTCTGGGTCTAAGTTAATTCTGTCAAGTAGTATGTGTCAGTTACCAGAAATGTGAGCCTGCCCAAACAATTATGAAATGAAAACAATGAACAATCTATCATTTTAATCACAGCTCTCTAAGGGCTTTCCAATCCAGACAAGACACAAGAACAACAAAATGCATAAAAGTAATCTCATTACCATCCCAGAGTCTGGCATCCCACCACATTACAACATTGGGGATACATAGCATTAGCCTCAGAATACTGTGCTCCCCCCGCTCAGGTGCTGACTGCTAATGAGAGACAAAGATAGATAAGAAAAAAATATATAAACATGACACTAGTTTTAAACTTGGGAAAATTATCGAAGGACTTCCCAGAACAAAATGTAATTAGCTTTAACAAGTTAAGGTATATTAGGACTCCCAAAGGGGGCTTCCTTATCTGAAGCAAACAGGAGGAACTTTCTGTTAACACAGCTGTATACTCATAATGGAAGGTAAATAGCTAAAAAGGCTTTAAACAAAAACTCTATATCCAAGGAACAAACAGGAAAAGCTAGGTGTATCTTAGCCAAACTGGAGGAGCAGTGGAATAGCCTGCTGATAGGATTAAGAACAGGAACAGGAGTAGATAAAGAGGGAACAGGAAGAACTGAGCTAGAGGGAGTATGAGGGGAAGGAGGAGGAGCAAGGGGCAAAGAAGGCTGGAACCCAGGAAGTACTGATGGAGATGGGCACCACAAGCCTAGAAAAGTAAGGAAATAAATACCCAGAATCGAAAGGTCTGCCAGAGCCTCCCTTGTGGAAAGGACTTTCCTCTTTTACAAGCTAAAATTAAGATAAAGGAAATGACCTGGCCAAGACTAGAGAAAATAGAGTTCATTTAAGATATAGGGGAGCGTCCTGCCCAAGGATAAAAGGAGTAATAACTGGTAGCGAATGGAGGGAACTTCTTAGTGCTTTTCAAAATGTAACTTCAAATAGATAAATTATATGGCAGGGAAATTATCTCAATAAATTTGTTATTTTTAAAAAAGTTTGAGCTAGGCATGGTGGCTCACGCTTGTAATCTCAGCACTTTATGGGGTGAGACAGGAGAATTACTTGAGGCCAAGAGTTCAAGACTAGCCTGGGCAACACAGGGAGACTCCACCTTTACAAAAAAAAAAATTTAAAAATTAGCCGGGCATGATGGCACCTGCCTGTAGTCCCAGCTACTTGGGAGGCTGAGGTGGGAGGTTAGCTTGAGCCTGGAAGGTCAAGGCTGCAGTAAGCAGTGATAGCCTACTGCACTCCAGCCTGGGCAACAGAGTGAGACCCTGTCTCAAATAAATACATAAATAAAGGCGTGTCAAGCTGGGCAACCTGTGACTACTCACAATTCCATTAACATGATTAGTTCAGTTGTCTCCAAAAGAGTACCCCCAAATTCCCTCACTCAGTAGGTAAAGTTTACTTATGTCTGGGAACTTCTCTGTTGGAATACATCAGGAGTTTTATGAATACATAAAAAACAGTAGCGGGGAAACTGGTAGCTAGGTCTTTAAAGAAGAAGTCTTCCCTCACTTTTGCTCTTGAAATGTATTTGATAAAATTTTACATAGTGGTGTGGGGGAAGGAAGCTTTCGTCTGAAAGATCAGATTTCTTCAGCAGATGATCTAGGGCCAAAATCTACCTAGTCAAAGAGAAAACGATCTGGGGTACAAAAGTCACGTCAGTTCTGGACAGACCCCAGAAGGTTTATCATAAAATGATCACAGAAGATCTTTCTCTTTGCTACCCCCAAATTGGACTGTACGCCCCGTGTCACTTCAGACGGTTACTCGCGAAGACGGATGCTTTGCCATGATCCCAGAAGTTTCTGGCGAGCTGCTGACATAAATTAGAAAGCCACTCGGGGACCGACCTGGGTGAAGCTAAGCGTCACGTCCAGGGCTGGGCTCCCCCTTCATCCCTCCCAATATAGGAAAAGGGACAGAAGAGGGCAGCAGCCAAGCAGGAACGCCCAGTCAGTCGTCTTCACCCCCCTCCCCTGAGCCAGGTTTCGGGGAGCCGCCCCCTAGCCCTCACGTAGGTCCATTCCCACCCGCCCCTGCCCTGGGCCCGCGACCCCAGGGAGGAGGGGACAACGGCGGCGAGCGCCCCCACCGGCAGCAGGCGCACCTCCCCGGGGGCAGCTGTCGCCGCGGCCCGCGGGGCCCGGGCCTCCCCGGGAGCAATAGGCTATCGATTCAGCTGCCTGTCGCTAGGAGCCCCGGGAGAGCGAGGCCTACACCGCCCGGCCGGAGCCCCGGCCTCGATTTCGCCACTTTCCCCAAACCAGAGGGAGAGCCCGGGGGCAACCAGGCCGGTCTGGGCGACAGGGAGGAGAAGCAGAGACCACTTGCAACAGCGGCCGCAGGAAACAGGGTGCGGGGCGCCGGGCTCCCGCCAACAAGTCTCCCGGGGACCCCCCCTACCCCCTGCCTCACAAGTTGCGCATTCAAGTTCAGGCTGGTGCCCTTTAGCCTCCACAGCCCTCGCCACTCTCCAAACCGTATTAAAAACAAGACGCAGAAGAGGCCACAACCGAACGAAAGGCGATGGTGCTGGGCCCCTAAGAGCGCCAAGGGGGGCGGCCCACCGCGGCCCTACCGTCGCCAGTCACCTCCCCTCTGCAGACCCCGCCAGCCCCCGGGTCGCAGCCCCCGGCCCCTCGGCGTCCGGGTCTGTCACCGCCCGCTTTCCAGCCCCAAGACCCCTTTTCCTTGACGCCGGCGACGGGAGCTGCAGCTCCCCCTTGCCTCCGGCGCTCCTCGGCCTCCTCCCCCTCCACATCGCCAAAATGCCCCCAGCACCTTTTAAAGTACGCGGAGGAAGAGTTTGCCGTCAAACTTTGTCGAGCGGTAACCTCGCCCCCCTCCCCGACCCACACTTTCGGGGCAGGCATCAGAAGAGATCACTTTGCACTTGGGATAAAGCGAATTAAGGAGCTGTCAACCATTTTAGGTCTTTTTTATAGAAGACATCCTCTCCTTCCCCTCCCCCTGCAATGGTTTTAATTTGACACCAAACCTTCCTACCGCAGAAGGGGGTTGAGAAAGGGAGGGGGTGGGGACAGAGGGCAGGAGGAGGGTGACGGGGGAGAGCGAGAGGGGGAGGCTGGGAGGGTGCGGGGAGGGGAAGGGGGTTGATTTACCTGAGACCAGCCACTGGCCTCCATTGTTGGAGAATTCAATGGCATTGACACAGCCGAAGTGGCCGAGGAGGTCCTTCTTGTAGAGGTTTCTGCAGCCCCGCAGGCGTCTCCTCTGAAAGTCCTGAGTGAGCAGGGGGTCCCCATGCAAGCCCCGCTGGGACAAGAAGCCCACCACTGACCTCATGCTGCCCCCCAGGCCAGTTCTCCTCTTCATGCTGGAACCGCCGCCGCCGCCGCTCGCGCCGCCGCCCCTCCCTCGGCCTCACGCGCGGCCGCCGCTCCCCCCACCCGGCCCTCCCCCCGCGCTGCGATCCGGATGGTTCTTTAACCAGCCATGGCAGGCAGAGCGAGGTGTGCAGACACTCGGCGGCGTTCGCGGCTTCCTGACGGTCCCCTCCCTCTCCTTCCCCCCGAGGCTCCTCCCTCTGCTTCTCCGCCTCCTCCAGCAGCTGATCTTCAGCTGCTGCCGCGCTTCCGCGATGCGCGGCCCTTCCGCCGGCCGCGGGGCCCCGAGAACGCGGCGTCGGCGCCCCTCCCCCTTGCGGGGGGCTGGCCGGAAGAACGCGGGCTGCCGGCCGGGAGACCACGGGCCCCTGCTGCTTTCGCCGTTGAGCCGCTTCCCACGCGGGGATCCGGGTGGCGCCGGGCAGAGACAGCGCTACACCCCAGCGCCTCGCACTCCGCGGAGTTGAATGCGCGTAACAATCCGGGTGGCCGCTGGGCTTCG